AACGACCTCAGATCAGTTTCTATGACTTTAGGCGGGCTTACCTTCCGTTGAATATGTGATCCCCGAGGCTAGAGCACAGCGCTGCCTACATACAAACGCACCATCTCCCATTCAACAATGCAGAAGCACAAATCTTGTTCTTGACTACATCTTCATTTAGATCAACACATTCCCATCCGTGCACCGCAAAGGTGAGAAGCATGGAATGACCTTGAAGCAGTATCTACATTTGCACAATCTGAGCGTGCTACTTTTGCTCAGAAATAGAACAATCGTATTAATCACAACTATGTGTTGGGAGGTGGTATGTATTCGAGCCCTAAGTCCTCCCAAATGGCAACATAATGTCCCTCTAGAGTGATTGGGCCTTCGGGAAAGGTGATGAGGGCAATATTACGGTGACAAAAGGAGCGTTTCCTGGGGTCGATATTACTCGGCGTCCAGCGATGCACCAGCACGCCCTCCGCGCCCATCAGACTAGAGAGAGGACAAGCCGACTGCGGTACGCACTTGGCCAGTAGATTGTGCGACGGCCATTCCAATTTTAACAGACGATCGTTCAGGATTTGACCTGGGTCTACAATCTTCAAGAATTTAGCTATTTACAATTAAGCAAGGCTTTGAGTATCTGATGAGTGAACAAAAGGCCATTTTTCAATTGTGCAAACGAGTGTAAATCTAACTAACTACCACATAAATAACCCATAAAAGATTTCTTGGTGATAAGAGAGAATTAAAGACACAGAGAAGTAAATGTATGTGCCTGATTTTAACTGCTCTTACCTCCACATTTTCTTGATGTTACAATTAATAGGGTGCCTTGACATCAGTCAACCAATCACTTTTAAGGTGGAACCGGGAGTGTCTGGGGTTAAACTCACCAGATGCTGCTGTTCACAACCTTAGAAAAAAAGTTTCCACCTCAGCGTTGTAGAACTTGCTATTTGGAAATTTGAATTCGCAGACCCATTTCGATGCTCCCTCATTGCCAGTATGATGTAGCGATAGCAGTTGTAACTTAACACGTCCCCTCAAAAGCATTAAGTTACACTATGCTCACTTTTGAGACACCAACACACTCTGGGCCCATGAGGACATGTGTACGCGCCAACACTCCAGTCGCCCCCACCTCCAGACTAGTCACACGCATTGCACGCTAGCTGTGAGAATTGAGACACCTGTCCTGAATTTTTACCGAGTTTCAACACATACAGTTTTGCCACGAATTTTAGAAGACGAAAACAGCATTACGCCACCGCGTTGACTCTCTGGAAGCCTTTATTATTCTTTGCACCCTCGATGCATGCTTCTATTGAAGTTCCAGAGCAAAGAGGTGCAGCCATGCACCGTGACAGTGTCTTCCTTCCGCTTCTAGGTCACTCAGAAGGGCAGGCGAAACCCTCCTCTATTGCTGTGGCCTTTACAGAGCCACACCGTAATCCTGCCAAACTCCGAGACATGTCACTAAGACCTTCAAAATTGCACCATGTTTCTTTGGAAAAGGACTTTGGTCTGTAAATTTAATAAGCAATTTTTTGCCTACTAAGCTTTCCTATTCTGTCCTATAAAAAATTCATCCTGCCTCACTGGACTGCTTTATGTATTAATAAAAGAATCGGCATAGACGAGGGCTCGCGGAATGACATTCTTTTCGCCCATATTACGAACATTCTCGAGCTTCTACGGTTCAACGTCCGCACAGCCGAAACAAACAACTTCACCAAATTCTCACCCATTTAACGTTCGTTCATATTCGTGCGTGTACGAAGACCCACCCTCAAATAGATCAGACAACAAGCACACGGAAAATGTCATAGAAGCCGCTTTGTGTCTATGGTGGCTAGTCTGAATGCCCGAAATTCTGGAGAATCAGAGTTTAAATAAAGTGTCGTAAACCCAAATGCTTTCAGACTGTGCATCTTGGTCAGTAAAAGAGTTGTAGTGCTCGTGCAATTCAGTTAACTGTACCTTAATCAGGAGAGCCCTTCTTCAGGTGTCGCAGGCTGGACATGACACCGGAAACATGGTCACATAACCATGCCTAATGGACCCTCTCAACCCACCCTCTGTAAATTACCACGACTTCAGACACCAAGACAGCTACAGAACAATATTGCAAAGTGGCGGCTTTAAAAAAACTGCACCAAAAAAAAGGGGGTCTGAGAATAGACACGGAATAGCAAACTTTGAACAGAGCAAAGCTTCCCCTAAACTCCGATGTCGGACGAGGGACAGTGGATTAGACAAATATGTATTTGACTGGTCACAAGTACTGTTTCACCTTGATTAGAGCTTCTCTCTTGCTAGGCTTGCATCTACATTTTTCGCTTAAGTTAATCAGCACACCACTCGATCACATTTCTTGTTCCTCCATCGGTTTATAAACTGGGTACTTTTGCACTAGCGGGGGCTGTACCTCGAGTAACTCACCCTAACACGTCGACATGCGCTCTCAGCATGGTGGACTACAGCGGTGGAGAGTGTCGTGCCGGCCACACCACTACCACTAGCCAACCTTGGGACAGGTGAGTCCCGGGCTACAGACTGCGGTGGTAATGGCGATCCCGTAGTCGTCGTTGCACTAACGTTAGCGACCACCTCGGCACACCAGGAGGCGAGCTCACTGCCTCCAGCAGCAAGCAGGAGGCTAGAAGTGGCAGAACCGTGCTCACCTCCACCTCCTCCTTGCTGTCGCGTCCGAGAGTGAGGGTTGGAGAGGTGCCCAAGACGCATTTGTTGGTGGTGGTGGAAATTAGCCGAGAAGAGATGGTTTTGGTGATGCTGGTGCCAGGGCTGACGATGGTGCTTCTGTTGTTGGCAAGTAGAATGTTGAGTGGGGAATTTGGATGACTTTAGACGATGTAGCTCAACTGAAAAGGCAGAAACAAGCAGACAGACCATTAAAAGTAGCAATTTGCAGTGATGCTAATTCATGCCTTTTTAGTTACACAGTTAGAAAGGGGACAGGATAACAAATAGTCAACATTCCTTTACCAATCCTGGCTAGCAGGGGAAAAGATGTTATTACAGTGACTTCTAAAAAAGGGCAACAACATCGACATTGCTTAGCTGCATGCATAATCCAAAAGCGAATTCCTAGCCTGTCGTTTTGCGCAAAAAATAGCACCATGGAAAAGGAGTTGCATTCACTTTTACAAGCAGCCAGATAGGAAGACTAATAAGTGTTAAGGAATTGGTATGAACATAGAGGGCATAGGGACAACCGTTATCGTTAGTATTAACACAATTCCAAATTTCACACAGCCTCATGCCCTTGAGACACAGATTGGACTACTCGCCTCCACATATCTGCCAAATTCCACGACTGACAAGTAACTCTAAGAGAAGTATCACAGGACCAAGGGAGACAAGAAGTGGGAAGGAGAGGCCAGTGTTGATCTTTCTTTTCTCCATATGGAAGCGAATTGTGTGCTTAAGCTTCAAGTTATTCTAATGAGGTCTTATGGCCTTGAATAGTCTCATGACATCACAGGTCTTGACAGTAAATTACCAGACTCAAGCATCATACCCAGTAACAAAGTTTCCAATGCTGGCTAAAACTCAGACTCATTCAACTAAAACGCCGTTCATATCCGTGTAGTACGAAAACCCCTCTTCTCCTGGCCCTCCATGGAGTGAAGGGAAATCGTTTATGCCATCCTTCGATGGTGTCCCTTGCAATTCATGCCTCCAAAAATGCTCTTTATAGCCTATGAGATTATTTAAAACAACAGCACGCGCTGTACGTTTAAATGCATAAACAACTCGGCTAACTTGAACACCATCGACAAGTGCATAAAAGCTCTCCTGAGCATGATTGGAATCCTTACGTGTGATGAATGAACATCACTAGAACCCAGGGGATCCTCCCTGCCATTTGCAAAACTGGAACTCCTTTTCCATTTCTATCTATGACAATGTATCGTTCGAGAATATAACGCTTACCGTCATTGCTTCCGCCGCCACCACCACCACATCGATAACTACGTCGACAGTATTGTTTGATACGATCCTGCAGAATCAATAGCGACCTCATCAGCCCGGGGATAGAAAAATTGGGACAAGCAACTTGACAATACTGTGGATGACTCTCCGCGAAGCTCGTGATGAGGGGGCTTACGTAGATAGGGTAGCCAACAGGCTGATCGCAGCTAGAGTTGATAAGATTGCGCAACACGTGCTTCGCGTGTTGAATACTTCCGCGCTCTGCATTATTGTTTCGAAGAAAGATCTGTTCTCGCAACTGACCAGCCCAGAAACCACGTACGCACTCACTGTTGAGCTAAGGAATAGTCCCAAAATTACGCCCATACTACTTAAATCAATGAGTAAAGGTTTCACTCCGCTGTAATATTTGTGCAGGAAAAGTTATGGTAAAAAAGTTTAAACAAGGATGATTTCGAGTCGTATGGGCTAATTATAGGGTTGCAGTGTTTATACCTTGATGACTTGGAAGGAGAGTATTTGCTTGTTCATCATAATAAAACGGAAGCATTGCTGTGTAGTGCCTGAGTCGATGCGACGGAACGAAAAGAGACGTTCCGCGTCATTGAGCACTGCTGAACGCCATTGAGGATCGGTTTCGTGACAGATGATAACATTCTGTGTAGTGCTCCATATGGCACGGTACAACTCTCGATTGGTGGAGAGCGGATTCCAAGTAAAGTGATCCTGCAATTTAAATGATATTCAAGCTATCATTAAAGTTAATAAGTATTCCCGTTTCCAACGTCTTAACCCCCAAGCGTACACCGGCATGAACGTCACAGCCTTTGACAACTTTTGAACCTCCAAAACAACCGTTGATCAATTTCAAGAGCTTCAGTACTCCAATGTAGGGAGCGCTTGCCAAGCCTTGGATATCTCAGCAAGACCATCGACAAGTAACGTCCGCCTCAGTGAGTGAACTAACAACAAACTCGCCCAATTCCTGATGACAATGACATCGTGAAGGAAAAATAATTGTAGTCTTTTGTGATGGTGTATTTCACACCTTCCACACGTTCAGTCTCTCCCTTTTCGTGAAGTGAAAGCCTAACTCCCTCCACCTTTGATGCAAATGGGAGCAAAAGTGCGATAAGTGTGTTGTGCTAAAAATACAGGTGCAAAAAAATATACACATCTTCTTTAATGGGCCTGCATTCTCGCTGGCAGTGCCTTGCCAGTAGCTTAAGTGCCGATAAAACCACCAAAATTTTGGCAAGGCACCCCTGTGCAAAAAGGGACAAGTAGTAGCTGCTGCTAAAACGTTCAAACAGCTTGACATGTATGCCAAAACAGGGGAAAAGGTGCCCTTTTGATTGATTGACTTACCTGGTATAACTTTAAAGCCACTCGCATTGCTGGTGTGACAACAATCCTCAGGAGGTCAACATCAGCAAACACCCAATCGTCCTTTGCAGAAATCTGCACATCTCCCTTGAACACATCGTGTAGGTAGTGCAGAAAAGTTTCCAAGCTAGAACAAACAAACAAAGAAAAAAACAATCAGGAACAGAGTGTGGATGGTGAGAATGTTAACAAGTGTAGGAGGGGAGAAAAAAACTCCTCACGCATTGTTCAAGTGTCCAGATACACCGCCCAAACAACGCCGTCCAAGAAGGGAGATCGCGTAGCAAAGAGTCATTAGGTCGGACTCATCAGAGGCATCAACAGACTGAAATAAAAGTGACAGGTCTTCTGTGATGAGAGATGACATTGGCAATGAGGAGATTAGGTTTAAGTTAAGAATGAAAGACAATGGGGGAAGAAAAAGACACCCGAAGTGAGTAAGGCCATCCACAAGAAAAAAAGGGAGAAAGGCAATCTAATTGAGGTGTCAGAAATCATTTCTAGTGCATTTCAATAAGCTTTTTGAGTACATTTGACCAGCATGCATATCGTGGCAGCCTTAGGAGAGGCCTTAGTACCTTATTTTCTGAGCACCTAGAGAGGCAGTAGCGAATCCACTCCGCGTAGACTCGAACGAAGGCGACACGAGTCACACCCGAGATCGACTCATCAAAGTCCTCATCGAAAATCTTACTAAATACAGGATCCAAATCCGCCTTATTCTCACCCACAAAGCGTTCCGTCAATTCGGCAGAGAGGAGTTGTAATCGACCCGATAGATTTGGCAACCGTGCCGTGAAGTAAAGGAGACACTAAAGGTGAATGGAAGGAGACTGAAGTATAAGTTACAAAACATCAACTAATAATGATACCTGTTCTTGATTGTCTGTGATGCAGATGAACCACTAACATTAGGACAAGACACTTCCTCTACTTTCACATTTTCCCTTCTTCTACCTTCACAATTTCAAGGCACTCAGTTAACACGGTGGCACAAACGTCCATGTGTTCACCACAAAGAAGCACTTGCTAGTAAAAAAAAGTGCACCCTTTTATGGCAGTACAATGAGCGTCGTCTACACCTTGTAATATCCTGAAGCTCACATTCCAATTACCTCGTGCCCATAGTAAGCTTGACCGGAGTTGGGTACATGTAAAGAGCTGACAAACCTGAATGAAGAGAGCGAGGACAATCTTGCGAAAATCTATGACCTGAAGGGAGGTGGCAGCGCTGTGATCTATGAGACGATAACCCTCTATGGTGTAGGGCGTGTGAACAAATTGCCAGGCCAGCCAACGCAGACGGATGGCTGAGTTAGGACTGAGTAGAGCAGCAGGTAGACGACGCAGAGTGCAGCAACAGAAGTCCCGATCGCCCAACTGTGGCTCCGACAGGCCGTTGCTCTCCTGCTCATGACAGTAAGTACCTAAGTGATGGTAGGAGGGAAGGAAATTTCTAACTTCAAAACAATGACACAAAACCTGAGTTTTATTTGTCTCTAAATACCCACATGGAGGTTAATGCACTGATAATCTCATATCCTCAGGGCTATTTGAATAGCTCCTGTCTACCCAGTTGAGATGGCAACTAATTATCGGAGGATCAGTGGCTCTCCACATCTGCCCTTACGCATAATTAATTCATTCAAGTATCCCAGACATACTTTTCCACAAAAAAAGTAGCCTAGCAGATGCCTTGTTTACAAAAACATGGTGCCTAGCCACAAATAATCACCCCAACCTTATTTCTCAACTACCAATTCCATCCTGCATAGGATAGCAATGCGATTGTCTGCCTAAGTTGGAGAGTAGTTAAGGATCGTCGATTTGAGGAGTAGTAAGAGAGTAAGGAAAGAGGGATGAAGATGGGGCATCATCCACCTCCTCATCACAATCAACAAGACCAGGACTGATTACTGATTTAAGCATTAACGTTGCCATGATTAGCAGACAAGATGACAGATAACAAGTTTTAGACACACACAAACAATCTATGTACCAAAATAAAGAGCTATCTATGGTATGAAGTTATCCTGACTTCGGTGTAAAAAGGCGATGTGTATAGTCGGTTGTAATGGATGAAATGGAGGTATGATCACGTAATCAGATTGACTCTCATTAAAGGAGATTTGGGACATCGGGTATACTGGGACTCTTGGATAGGTGTCAATGAAACAATATACTCAAAGCGAAAGCTTGTGTCGTTGAGTCTATAGCATGTGGATGCGGACTGGAGACGTCTCGTCTAAACTACTCAAGTGAGAAATGAAAAGTTATCAACTCATCCAAAACGAAGGGAGAAATAATCTGCAAAAAAAGCAGATAGGAAATGGTAGTGTAGAGGTTCAGTCCACAATCTTGAATCACTTCGCTTTCAAGCAGTAGTGAAACAAAACGTACATTTTCTGCAAAAATAGAGTGATTGTATATTGAGAACATCTTGGGTATCGCCTCACCAGCAAATTCAAGGCCACGGATCTGAAAGGTGACAAGACCATTCCCTATCTCGATGATGTGGAGGAGGAAATGAAGCTCCTCAGAGGCGAGGATGAAAATGTCACCAGCCTGCACGTTGCCGCCGGACCATCGCCCTAGAGCAATGTCACCTGCAAGACGCTGCTGTAGACATCGCGCTATGTGCTCATAGAAGATGGCATTCAGATTGGCAGTCACCTGTTCAAAAGACACTCCACGCAGCTGAGAGAACAATGAAGTATTGGTCGATTCAATTCGATGAATTCTATGAGATAAGGAGAAGGAGAATGGAATTTAGGCTCATAAAAGCGAGGCCAATGATGGCGATCATAGCCTGAAAAGTGGTGAATTTGAAATGAAATGAAGAAGGACTAAAAACCGGGTAACGTTGGAAAGTAAAATTTGATCGTGATTTGTGAATGTGGACTGATAGCATCGAAATTTGTATCATTTCAAGTGGTGAGGAAATTTAAATAAGGTAAGACAATCCCACACGCCTATGCAGTATCTAAAGTGAACCATCGCGGGGACAATGGGCAATGAACTGTCTAGACTTGCAATTTTATGAGCCGAGTCATATTTACTTTGCAAATTAATCGCAAAACAGGTTAGACTAGCCAAAAGTGGTTGTCATCTGCCTCAAAATCCCTCCATTGCAAACATGTCCATAGAAGGTAACCAAAGGGTTGGAAACAAAGTGAAGAATTACTTTTGTGTGGCCTCCCAGAACCGAATCGGCCTGGCATAAGAGGTGATAAAGAAGACGCTTGCAACAAACGGTTCCAGAGGGGCCGAAAGCACTGTGGAGAAAATGCAATTTGCCAGGGTCGATATAAAATCTTAATATACGAGAGTCAAGGAATAAAAAATAAACGTACATCGAGGAACTAGAATAGGAGGAGGAGGAGGAGGAGGAGGAGGAGGAGGAGGAG